TTCCCAGAAATGTAAGTTCTGGTTGTCAGCTGGCCAGAATGGGACTTCTAATATATACAGTGAGATGTAATTAATAGGTGGGGGAAAACATACAGCATCTTATATTCAGAGAGGACTATTGCCTTATTTGACCTTTAGACATCCGATTCCTGAATCCCCCTCTGCTCCCCAACTCCAACCCCCCCCCAAAAAAAAAAATCCAAAGAAAAATTTTCCTCTATAAATGAATGTGTGGTGTCTAGCACATGGATTCAAAATAGTCTGCATGCTAACCAGGAACTTTTAAATCCAAAGTCAACTGGAAGGATACACTGAAGGGAGAAGAGTGTCTCTGAAGGGAGAAGAGTGTCTAGAAATTGCATGTGTCTTCTAGATTTATATTTTCCTGCTATTGAGTGGGGTAACTATGGGTTGAATTCAAATCCAAGGTAAGATACATGGTGCATCTGTAAATTAGGTGTATAACCTTCATTATAATCAGTTGTGACCTAGGAGTGTAATTCACATGCTAAAACAAGCTTCTTTTGAGATGCCCTATAGCACCAGGGATATCAATGCAATGCTGGCAGGCCTGACATGATCTACAGGAGACCTGAGGTCTTCTGGATCAGCAACTAGAGGCCAGGCAGGACAACAAAAGGCATCTTTAGGCCAGTATTTCAGGCATCTGAATTGCCCCTTTGCAAACCAAAATCATTTTCCTGGTTTTGGTGGCTGCTATGCTGTGCTAGACTGCAGTGTTGTCAGCATGCCACAGATGTGCGCTGAGCACTCCTAAGCACTTGCTAAATTAGATCTTTCAGTTGTTTGGGCACAAGAATGTCTAGTTCAGGAACGCTAACTGGCCCTGACATCTGCAACTTTTGTTGCATTGAAAATGCAAAACATTTTAAGTAGCATTGTTATGTCTGAAAGTCAAATACAAAAGATGCTAGAAACTTATAATATTTCTAGTTCCACCCTTTGTCTAAGGTACAGACTTTCTTTTATGTTTTACTCCTTCTCTGTTCTCCCAGATAGTCTGGCATAGGCTGAAGTGTTTGGTGAACATTCAGAAGCAACTTTACTCTCATATAACCAGTAAGATTTCTACTGGATCCTGTTTTAGTTTAGTATGGTATAAACAAAGTTCACCAAACACAGCCATCACGTATGCTTTTTTTTTTTTAGCGCGTATCTGAAGTGCTTATAAAATTGTTCACTGCATATCTGCTGAGCTATATTGCAGCGCATTGGTAAAATCAGTGTAAAATATATGCATGAACTGTTGCCTTTTATTTACCAGTAACTGTTATACATTAGGGATTTGGGGATATTTTTAAGGCCATTATATAAATTCATATTTAAAATTCCATCTTGAGATACCACAACCAGTTGAATGTTGGAACTACTTGTATAACCAATGGAGTCAGTTTTAAGGGCTAATAGTAGGCTTATCTGTTTTCTTTTAAATATATTAAAAGCTTAGCATTTTTTCTGTTCCTTGCATGCTTTCCTGATTGCATGCTTTGTCAGAATGCTAACATTAGTGTAATCAAAGCAGTCTTGCAGTCAGTACAAACTGAAAACATACGGTGCTTCATTCTTTGCTTGCTTCACTCGTGCAACTGCACTTACCTCAGTGGAGTTAATTTATGCCAGAGTAAAGAAACAGACACTCAGGCTGTCAATTTTTAGCATTTCTTCCATGAGGAAGGAGAAGAAATTCTAACTTATGAAGAAATGAAGATACTGCGAACCTTAAAGTATGAAATCATTATAATGTCCCAGTTTAAATAATGATATGGACAAAGAATAATTCAGGCATTGTGTATGCTTAGAGCAAGAAAACAAAATTACAGGTTCTCCACATTCACTGCTCACATATAGATGTATTTCATTTGCCAGAAGCTTATTTTAGAATCCTGCAAAAATACTCACTTTGAAGTATATAGCTTTTTCAAAGCAAAATGCATATGTTTTAGCC